TTATTTTGATATATCACAGTGAAAGATTTATCGTCCTCTTTTTTTTTTTTTTTTTTTTTTTTTTTTTAAAAAAAAAAAAAAAAAAAAAAAAAAAAAAAAAAAAAAAAGAGTCTTAATTCTTATGTTCTCCTTCTAAATAATAAAAACTATAACTAGATCCCGAAAAGGACCCAACATTCTAATTACCTCGGGAAGAGGATATGCATTTGTGTTTCCACAGGACGCTGAAGCTCCCATCTGGATTCCTGACAGGCTCATTAAGCCCTACAATCAAGCCCAGGGAAAGGAGGAATCGAGGAAGACTGAAATCTGTGATGCATAAACTACAGAAGCTGAGTGTGTCTCCTCCGCAGGCCCAATCTACACAAGAAGCCAGCCTGCCCACCTGGGGACAAGTGAAAAACTGACACATGAAGCAAAAAATACTGTGGTTGCTACAGGAAAACCTTTGACAAAAAAAAAAAAATGTTTTTTGCAATTTTTGCTGTTCTGGCCGTACAAGCATCAATTGCTTCAGGGGAGATTTATTGGACATATGTACCTAACCCACCTCTTTTGCATCCTGTAGGATGGGGAGATGAATCACAAATTAAAATAATGACTAACTATAGCCAACTTTTAGGTGGGTCTGAAGATTTTAAAACTTTCATTTAACTTCTGAAATTGTTAATTATGAGGAAATGACAGATCCTGATGGTCCAGCTTATGATGGATCACTTAGATCCCCCCCAGCAACAACTATAGACTTATAAACGGCCTTCTTAGGCCCCACTCCCTCTCACTTCCATCAAAAACCAGACTAGCATGAGGTTGGTACATTCATCTTTGCCCGCCGAGCTTGACTGGCAGCCAAAGATGGGTAAGAGAGGCGACTCCCCATCCTAAACACCTAAGACAGGAGGGCCACCTAAGCTGCTGCCTCATCCCATGATGGGTGTATGATTTGGGGGGGATCCCTTCCGATCTAAGACAGGTGCAGTCACCCGTGCAGGGATCCAAAGGTCCCTCACTGCTCTGCCTCACCTCCCCAAAAGTACCAAGAACAAAAAACGGTGAGGAAATCTTCAGGGATCCTCACGGGAGGAGTCTGGTTATTTGTTCTAATAAATAAAAAGGGGAGGAGATGTTGGGAGCCAAAAGGCCAGAAGAAAAACATCTTTATGGCAGCTATATGGTTTCCTACAAATCTTTATGGCCTTGAGAAAAGACAGTCTTAATGGTTTTCTGTAAGTTTCTATAAGATAATACCTGGTTGAGGAATGTGGGAAAACAACTTGTGACCCAGGTCAAGTCAGCCTTGAGAAATATTTACTACCGATGTTAGTCCTGGGAAATGTTAACCACATGCCTTCTCAGACAAACCCCTCTGCCCCTCTTTGACAATTAGCCCTTAGTGGAAAATTCCACCAGAGCCCCTCTTCCTTTTTCTCTATTCCCGCCTTCCACTCCCCCCGCCCTGAGCCCACTATAAATATATGCTGTGTGTACTCAATAAACGGAGCTTGATCAGAACACTGTCTTGCTCTCTTTCTTCGTGTTCTTTGTTTGTCATTCCTTCTAGGACCCCCACTGGTCGCGCCACTGTAGAAGTGTCCTGTGGGTCGGGACACCAGACCAATGGATTTGATTTCCTAGAGCAGAGAGTTTGTTGATAGGGTTTCAGACTATATGTGACAACTCACACTGGAGAAACTATGGAATGACAATAGCAAAAGTCTCTGCATAAAACTCTAAAATACTTCTAGTTTAATGTAAGCAAAGAGAAAAACTTGCAGACACTACAGGGGTCAATTTAAAAGAATTTTTAAAAATTCATGTAACTGTCATAGAACTATGCTAGTAAAAGTACTGAATGGAAAAATAAAAGATGAATTCTTAATAATAAAAAGTTCAAGAAGTGCTGGAAGGCACTATGCAAGCTACCTGAGGAGAAAATTTATCATGAACCTTGTCCAGCTGTGAATCCCGCAAACCGTAACAGCTGGTCTGGGAAGATAAGCCCATCAGTGCAATAGTGGCACAAATGTTGTAGGAGCAACCGACTACTTTCTAATTGGGTTTAAGGCCTACTTCATAAGATGGAGCCCATACCTGACATTGAGATCAGGCCTAGGAACCTGAAGCTGGACAGTCCACAGGCCATGGGCGAGAGCCCATGATGAGATCTCTTCTAGCCCAAGACAGATGTGGCCTCTCCTGGGCTCCCTCCTTCTACCACAGAGCTGGTGGAGAAAGGAGTTGATTCCCCTGTGCCTGACAAAGAAGTTTCCTGAACATAGTCAGCTGCTGTTTTTATCATTCATTAGCCTCAGGTTCATGGGTAGCACCTGCCTTAAGACTATCATAAGATGAAAGAGAAGAAACAGAAGGAGAGGCCCTGAAAAGAATGAGACCATGCATGGCACAGACCACATGTGGGAGCATGTAAGGCATAGAGCAGCCCAGGGCTCCAAAACAGGAAGTGAAGCCACTGCCTGAAGCAGCAGAGCGAGCAGGACACGGTGACCACAACACCCACAACTCCTTGGGACCTTGGCCCTGTTCCCTTCAGCCCCTACTGCCCCCCTGCAAAACCTCTCATGGTTTCCCTGGGGCTGATCTGACCCTCCTTCCTCTTTCTCTTCCTGTAGCAGAGCCAAACTCCCCAGGCCTCCCTGTATGGACAGCTGTAGCCAGTGTGACTGGGCTTCTGGTCCTGGGCTGTTTCCTCTTCCTCACAAGGACTGGCAGGTACTGAGGCTTCTTACCACATGGCCCCATGCAGGATGGCTAGGCCAGGAAGGAAAATATGCCTTCACTGGGTTATGGGACTGGCTTCCCTCTTAACTGGTGAGTCCAGAAGTCACAGAAGTGGCTTTTTGGTTTTCTTTTCTTTTTTTTGGGGGGGGGGTCTTTTGGAGACAGGGTCTCCTTGTAGCCTCAGCTGTCCTGGAACTCACTATATAGACCAGACTGGCCTTGAACTCACAGAGATCCGCCTGCCTCTGCCTCCCAACTGCTGGGATTAAAGGCGTGTGCCATGATGCCTGGCTTTTTAGGGCCTTTCCTCAGCTCCCCTTTCTTGGGCCCCCTCCTCTATTCAGGGAACTGGTAGCAAAAGAAGGAGGTTTCCCAGTTCTCTTTGCATATGGGGCCCCTTCTTCATACCTTGTCTGCCCCAAAGTTGTGACCTTCTTGTCACTTTATGGATAATTCTCACCTTCCCAGGGCCAGTGTACAGTGTGACCTCAGAGAGCCACAGCCCTCTGTGTCCACCTCAGGTGAGTATCTCTTGAGTCCAGCTGTGGCTGCAGCCCCAAGACCTCTCCCACAGTGTCCACTCTTGTAGTCATGCCCTGTGGACTCAAACTTGCCCTGGTGCATCAAGGATTTCTCTCATGAACACTCAGCACGTGATTCCAACTACTATCAGTCCTCCAGTGGGATGTGGTTCATGCTCACCTCCACAGCCTCACCTGCTCACTCACTCCTAAGATGAATAGAGATATTCTATATCCCCCGATGCTCTGAGAGCTGAGGACCCCATGCCCTCCCGAAACGGGCTCATTCTCACTCTTCCTGTACCTCCTGTCTCTTCCTCTAGGCTGTGGATCCTCAGACAGCACTGCCCTGGGTTAGTCTATTCTCTTCCTTAGAGGGTTACAGCTGTGCAGGCACAGGCCAGAGTGCAGCCACCACCAGCACAGCCAGACCCACCTCTCCATAAGGTCAGAACATGGTTAGCACAGTCCTTCTCAGGACTAGACCTCTGTTCGGTGGCAGGTTACCCTTATCCTGTCCTTCATGTATCTGAGGGACCCTTGAGTTCCATCAGTTGCAGAGTAGGTAGTGAGAATGTCATTATTGGTCCAGGGATAATAAGGGTATGAGTCAGAGTTACCAAGACAGGGACTGCAGTGTGTGTCCTTTGAGGAGCCTGGTGTTCAGAAGGCAATTCTCATCTCCCTGAGGGGAAATGGGTCAAATAGACACCGGAAAAATAGCTCTGTCCTGTCAGAGACCAGAACTTTCCAGGCTAAGCCTAGTAACTGCTTAGCCTTGAGGACCATCCTTCTGGGTCCCTTGACATCTAGTCTCTCCCTATACAGACCCCTATTCCTAACCTCAAAGCAGACATTCCTATCCACAAGGCAAGTGTACTGGATAGTTTCAGTTGTCAACTTGACATGCCTCAGTAGAGGGAACCTGAATTGAGGAATTTCCTCCGTTGGATTGGCCTGTGGCCATGCCTGTTGGGCACTTTCTTGACTGTTGAGTGATGTGGGAGGGGCCAGCCCATGGTGGGTGGTGCCAACCCTAGGCAGGTGGTCCTATGCTGTATAAGAAAGCAGGTTGAGCATGGGCCAGAGGAGCAAACCAGTAAGCAGCATATCTTCAGCTCCAGCCTCTGGGTTCCAACCCTGAGTTCCTACCCTGACTTCCCTCAGTGATGAGTTGTGACCTGGGAGATGTACGATAAAATAAACCCTTTCCTTCCCAAGTTGGTTTTGGTAAGTGTTTTTTATCACAGCAATAGAAAGCTAACTAAGACAGTGAGTGGGGGTACCCTTACCCTGTCCTTCATGTATCTGAGGGACCCTTGAGTTCCATCAGGTGCAGCGTAGATAGTGAGAATGTCATCATAGGTCCAGGGATAACAAGGGTGTGAGTCAGAGTTACCAGGACAGGGACCGAGGTGTGTGTCCTTTGAAGTTTTGGTCCTTCAGACCCAGGACTTGCATCCACTCCACATCTGGTTGAGCTTTAAGATTCAGGAAATGGCACTGTAAGGACAGTGAGGGGTGGTGAGCAGAGAAGGGAGGGGCTTAGGGACAGGGACCATGATCACGGACAGGATAGAGCAGAGAGTAGCCCAATGTGGACCAGAGCCTGAGAGCCCCTGGGCACTGCACAAGGTATACATAGGTATCAGAGGCCGCTTTAATTCTTTAACAGGATTTACTAAAGTCTGGCAGGAACATTTATGGCCTGAGCAACCACACAGCCGATGTGGTGACTTACAATCTTCTGGAAACAGCTTCATATGGGACAAAGAAGAGTCCCCTTAGAACCCAGACACAAAAGATGGGACAGAAATGGAGCCTGAGTCCCAGAGGATGCTGCGACCTGGGCGTGCAGGGGCTCTTCTGTTGATGCTGCCAGGCTGTCCTGGGATGAGAAAGGCCAAGGCTCCTGTTCCCTAGCAAGAAAGGCCTTCAGGGACAGTGAAGGACCTTGAGGTCACCTGGAAAGGAGCTGAATAAAGAGACCCTTCCCCTCTCTGGCTCTCTGTCCTTGTGGGAACTTCTTTCAGTAGGCATTCACGTGGAATTCCAGGTCAGCTCTCCCCTGTGTGGTGCAGGGAATAGCTTTACCTACAAAGTTGCTTTGGCAAAGTCTTTCTTACC